TGTGTGTGTGTGTGTGTGTGTGTGTGTGTGTGTGTGTGTATGTGTCTGTGGCATGGTGGTCCACCCCAGGTTTACTGATGATTTTACCTTAATACAAAACCTTGAATACATTGGACATTAAACCAACATCCCATTATCACATGTCCCTAAAGTGGATGGCTGAATATTTTGGGCAGCTTTGGAACGGTCTAATGTAAACATGGCTGATAAGATGTGCATATGACAGAGTGTCTTCAGATGAGGCACCCTAGGTATGAGAGGGAAGTGTGGAAGGGAAGTCTCGTGGGGGTATCAGTGTACAAGCCTGTGGTTGTAAGGCAGGAACCCAGATGCCCCAGTCACCACTGCTTCTGGTGGAGCGGCTTCTCATTCAGCATCTCTAGTGGGCTTTCTCTAGGACTCCCAGGGGCACATCAGCAAGGGTCTAACTTATTTCACCAGGTCCTAGGGGTCCTTGGGTGGTGATTTCCATCATTCTACCTGCAGCAGCTTTCTGAGCTCTCACATCCTGGTAACTCCCTTCTAGGGACTCGCTGATACTTGTCAATACCCTTCTCACAGCACAGATTACAAAACTAAGCTCCCTGATCCTGTTGCAGTCTGGCCCCATTCACATGGCCACGGACCTATTTTCTCTCTTGCTCTGGATAGGAATTTTCAGTGAGAATAGCTTGTGATCAGAGTAACTTTTCTTGGCCTGGGGATGTAGCTTAGTAGTTTAGTGGCCCAACAGTTGCCTGGCATACACAAGGTCCTGAAGTTAATCCCCAGCACCACAGAAAAAGAAAGAAAAGTAGCTTGTCTTCTACGACATCCATATGGCAGTACTGGCCCATGTTGAAGCTGCAGGCAATAACTTCTGTCTTGTTTTCATTTGACCAAGGGACGAAAGGATGGGAAATAGTGACATCAATGAGCATTGTCCAGGGTCAAAGAAGAAACTGGATGTGAACTTGAAGTAATGACCTAGACATGGTGCAGGGGCCCGCTGGGGCTGGCGAGTTTGAGGACTGTGTGGAGTGGGCTCCCTGCTCTCCAATACCTCCAAATTCTGGCCTTGGTTCCTTTGTCCTGCGGTCAGTCATGTGCTTCCCTCAGTGCTCCTTGGCTCTGCCACCCCATCTCCCTCAGCTTCCTTCTCTGATTCCCTCAGGCTTGAGTGTCAATGTTTCTTCCCCGGGATGCCTTTTCTCAGGTGAGGTCTCTGTTAATTTGTATCATTGTAGAGATGCATAGTACCTTTTCCTCCTGGTATTGTCATAACTACAGCTGATTATTCATGGACATTATGTCCAGTGTCGTGAGGTACCAGATCTATGCTGTTCATCACCACTTCTGCAGCAGAGCACAGTGCTTAGCACAGAGCAAACACTCGATACCCATTGAATGGATGAGTAAGTTACATAAACAAGGGACCTCTGAGGTCATCTAGCTCAACTCTTGTCACTTCAGCCACATTCCTGGTAAATGCTGGCTGTATGAATGGCTCTGAAGATGGGAGCTGAGGCACCTGAAGGGTCTGCTCTGCTCCTGGACTTCTTACCTGTTTAGAAAACTCTTCTTTAGGGTTTTAAATCCTTCTTAGTTGCATTTTGACATGCGTAGTGCCTCCTTCTTCTCTGCCTCTTTATCACACCCTACTACCTATATGCCAATATTCTCCTCTACCTGCCACCCTGACCCCCACATGTTGTCTGGCCCTTGTCTCAGTCAAGGACTGGGGAATGAGGCACCTGGAATTGTTTGCTGAACTCAGTTGGGTTTCTCGTTATCATTGCACTTTCTCACAGTCCCACAAACTCTAAACTGTCCCTGTCATTCTTGGTTTACTAGACTCTGATGACAGGGACCATGTCCTCCCTGTATTCTGTATCCTCAGGACCTGGCATTGAGCCAGCACAAGACAGGCATGCTCCAGATATCCTCAAAAACATTTCAGATGCTAGGTCATGGCTAAGCAAAGCCCTGGGGCTGCTAAGAAGTGATACGTACGCAGATGACTCGGTTGGGTGACCCAACGCTGGATCCAGGGGGTGAGATGGATGTTTCAGATGTCCGTCTATGCTGTGGGGAAGATGGAGACAGAAGGATGAGAAGCTGAAACCCAGGCTTGGTGGGAAGGAGAAGACGGGCATGGAATGCAGCTCTTCAGGGTACTTTAGCAATATTGTTCACGTACTCTCTGGTTACTTCTGTCCTTTCTCTGCCCTGTCAATCAATGTCTGAGTGGGAATGAGATCCAGCATGCCTAAGACTCCAGGCTGCTAGAAAGAGTATGCCTTTATTTTTTAGATATTTGTATCCAGTATTTTCTATATCTATCTATATCTATATCTATCTATCATCTATCTGTCATCTATATCTATCTATCATCTATCAATCATCTATCTATCATCTATCTATCTATCTATCTATCTATCTATCTATCTGTTATTTTTTTGATCTTTTTGAGACAGTCTTCCTATAGTCCCAGCTGGTCTGGAACTCACTACGTAGACCAGGCTGGCTTTGAACTCACAGAGATCCTCCTGCCTCTGCCTCCTGAATGCTGGGATTGAAGGTGTGCACAACCACGCTGGCTGTATCTAGCATTTTAAATAGGAAGTTATTCATAAAACTTTTCATTTTGGGTTTTCCCATCCAATATATATTTATTTTAAATGAACAAAATTGCTTAGTATTCATTCTTTGGCAGCTTATTCAAAAATGCAAAAGTAGATGAAAGTGCATGTAATTGTACAACATGCTGATTCTTTGTAGTGGACCCTGGGCAAACTGACATCAACTTAAATGACAACCTTAAAACATCTGTCTTTGCATGAAAGTCATGATGGATTACCAGCTGCCTTGCAGAATAGCACAATACTGATCTCCCTGCATCTCAGAGCATGGTAGTACATGGTGATGGGACAGTCAGAGGAATCAAGGACCACGGGGAAATATGTGTGAGTTTATAGAACTCAAATTCTTGATGTATAAAATGAAAGAGCCATGCTTCAGGACTGCTCAGTTTCCTCCCACATCGTACATCCATCTTAAAGCATTCTGAGTGAGGCTTATAGAATGGTGTTTACCAGATCATAGAGATGAACTTGGCGTAGCTCTGGGAAGATGAATGAATATGGAACATGTGATAACATCAAGCGATACAGTGAGAATGAAGTGTAACATTTTATTTCAGCTCTCTGGATTAGATCAAGGAGGACCCTTGATTTGGTGCTAATACATTTTAGCAGCTGTCTCAACAACTGCTAATTTCCTTTTGCACCAAAGAGTGTGCCAGCAACATTAGCTAGAATTTTAAAGGTTTATTCTCAATTACTATTCTATTATCCTTGGATTCATTTTGTTTATTTATAGCAAGAACTAATGCTTTCTACTTGGTAACAAGGTTTTATTTTAAAATAAGTTCAGTTAAGAAAAAAGTAGTGAGTTGCTTTAAAGAAAAAGATGAACTTGGTACTGATATAAAGAAGCAGCACATAGGTACAAGAAAGCATCAGGGTTTTAAAGAACAACTGAAGTTTAGGAAATGCTTCCAGGAAGGAGAAGAGTAAAAAAAAAAAAAAAGGCAACTAGGTCTTCTTGCACTTTAAATAGGACAGGCCTTGGAAAAAATTCACATATGGATCAAAAGAAATTACACATCAATAGACCAATTCTTTTTGCTGAATTTGTATTAAGTAGATGAAATGGCAAAGAAGAACAATTAATTAGCTTGCCAGAAATTGTGCCTGTGTGTTTTCTGTTGAGAAGACTCAATAAAGTAACATAATAGACTCTTAAGGGGTCAGGTTGACAGTAGGGGCCAGGATAGAAAGGAATGCAGCTCAAGTGTTGTTTCCCACCCCCACCACACATATACCTCAGGAGCCACTCTGCAGCACAAAAAGCCCAGGGGCTCAGCCTCTCCCTGCAGCCTGGGTAGACCCACATCTCCCTACAGTACCAGGGACTCAGATGTACAGGCCTTCCTGGCATTTGTCAGAGCACAGCACTTACAAGGGTCGAGAGCCTCAGCTGGTCTGCTGTGTGCCTGAGGACAATGCTGTGTTTCTGCCTAGTTGTGTTATTGCTGGCAAATTAGCACTCTGTCTAGACTTGATTTTCTATAGGCAAGGTGGAGATACAATTTCTCGAACCTGCCTCAGGAGGTTAAAGGAATCCAAGCAGAGACTGTCTATGAAGATGCTGTCAATTACTGTGTCAATAGTAATATAATTACTAATAAATGACCTTAGACTAGGGGAAAATCATGGCATAGGCACCTCAGTTGGCTGCCATCTTGGCCCACACTGATAAGGTTATAATCTCATTTGCCCTAGACATCTAGGCATCTCATATGCATTCAGTGCTCTACTGTTTGCAAAGTTCTTTCATATCCAATGTCTTCATCTCCTCAAAATCCATGAGGCAAATGTTCCCATTAAGGAACCTAGGGAAACGCACACATTTGGAAGCTGGCATGCTCTGTCTTAAAGCACAGCTTCCCCAACCTGTGCTGAGAAGCAGCATGGAGGACTGCAGTTCTTACCTTGAGCTTCTTCTCTGCCCGGGCTGCCTGCTTACAGATTGGGTGCCAAACCTCAGAACCTAGGGGTCCAGGAAAAGAACAAAGACTCAGGCCTCTCAAACCTGCCAGTGATCAGAATCTCCACCTCACCTCAGTTTTCTCCTTTGACAGCACATGTGCCCCACATATCAGTTGGGAGGAGCCTCCTTTGTTCCCTGACTTTCACAGCTCCCCGCTGTCCTGGAGAGCCACTGGCATGCCGATTTGATCACACACACACACTTTTTCTGGCCATCTAAATCCTACCCATTCCTCTGCAAACTTTCTTACCAGTCAGCTGGTGAGGCCTTTTTCCTCCTCTAGGCTCCATAGTTCTCTGGGTTTCTTCACACATACTGCCTTAAGTCATATTAGCTTGTGGTTTACCACCCTAAGTACATTAACAGCACCTTCTAGGCAGGCACTGAACTTTATCCATGGCTTTATCTCCCACGGCATCTGCATAGAGCTTCGCCTTTAATGGAAGCCCATACATACATTTGTGGGGTGAACAGATGATTGACAGAGAGCAGGTGGCCAATAAATATTTGTTGAATGAATGAATGGCAGTGGGGGGTGAAAGAAAATGATAGACCATGGTGAACTTTAGCTTTCTTTTCTCTTCAAAGACTTATGACAGAATTAGTACTTATCAGAGTTACTGTGTTTACAGGGAGGATGTGTCACAGCATATATTCTGCTTGAGAGCACTGTCTTGGCATGCTAACGCCACACCCTTTTAATTTAGTACATCAGTGTTGCTAGTGTCCACATTTTATAATGGGTGGGGGTCCAGTTGGCTGGCTCTAAACCTAAGAGGCCAATTTGGAATGGCATGAACAGCAGGTGGCTGGTCACATGCTGAGAAGCCCCAAATATTGTGCATTCCCCAAAGAAGGGACAGGTGTCCTGGATTAGAAGGGAAAAAATAGGAACATATTATCTCTCTGGAGCCAGTCCGCTTGTAACCAGCCCTAAAAGGAAAGCAGCCAATAAATGGCTCCATTCTTGAGCACCCAGATGGCATCTGTTTGCCTGACTTTGTTTCTAGGATATGCTTTGAATGATGCTTGTTGCCTGGAGTCCGTAGGATTAGAATACTGGCTAATGGGCAGGGGTTTGGTGAGAGATATCAGAAGAGAGGTGAGAGGGTCAGCCCCATGTTTGGACCCTGGGTTCTTGTCTCCCAACTCAGGCCCTATACATCCTTTCTCTTGATCCCAGTTTCTTCATGGGAGTAACAATTAGGTGATGTTTGGATGGCCTTGGAGATTATTTTCATCTCTCAGATTTTTATTCTAGGGGTAGTTTTGTCTTCTGTGGGATAGGAATCTTTAATTTTTGTCCGCTGGTATTCTTGGGTATTATTAATTATTCAAGAGGAGTTTGATTCTGTCTAAAGTAAAATGCAAAGGTTATCAGAGCCCAGTAGAGGGACTCTGGGCCTATGGCTTGAGCTAGTGATTGCAGGCTGTGTCAAGCAAGCTGTGGGTTGTGATCTTTTCTTTTGGTAGTTTAAATTAGAGAGAGCATTTCCGGTTCTTCTCTGAGTTGCTCCTGGGTCCACCAGGGGTTGTTTATGACTGTGGCTGTGGCAGGAAACACATTCCAAGTCACTGTAGGAAATGGTTGAGGTGAACACGGAGGTCTGACAAGGTCATGAGATAAAGAGAAAGATGAATAACAAAGGTGAAAGAGCAGAAGTGCAAGGGGGGGAACTACAGGAGGGCTGGGGGAGGGGCTACAAACGAGCTGGGGGAGGGGCTACAGGCGAGCTGGGGGAGGGGCTACAGGCGAGCTGGGGGAGGGACTACAGGAGAATAGGGGTGTCTCAGGCTAAACTGTCTCTAGCTTTCGATTCTGACATTGACTTTTCTGATCTGAAATAAAACTGAGCCACAAACAGCTTCACTCTGAATATAAGAAAGCATCTTTATATAAGAATTTGGAGGGGAGAAGAAGAAACAAAAAGCAGAATGAAAATGGAATTAGAAATGAAAAAAGGGGGCAGTGCAGGAGCTGCCAGGACATTGTATAAAGAGCCAAAACAATTTGCTGGTAGCCAGTAGTAAACTTAGATAAAGTTAAGAAAAACTGGGGTGTTTTTGTCCCCATGGACACGTGTATGAAATTATGGTCTGCTGAGCAGTTGCTCTTGGTCAACAGCTCCATGGCATGACCTTAATGAAAAGAGAACAGCTTGAGGACAGAAGGTGGTCACTTTCTCTGTGGACTTTATTTCCAGTGTCTGACCCATGTGAATGACTGGGTCCTACCTTGATATTTTTACAGTTACGGGGTGTTTTTGTCCCCATGGACACGTGTATGAAATTATGGTCTGCTGAGCAGTTGCTCTTGGTCAACAGCTCCATGGCATGACCTTAATGAAAAGAGAACAGCTTGAGGACAGAAGGTGGTCACTTTCTCTGTGGACTTTATTTCCAGTGTCTGACCCATGTGAATGACTGGGTCCTACCTTGATATTTTTACAGTTACAAGGTAAAAGGTGCCCAAAGAAGGTGATAACTAGAACGGGGGGGGGGGGGAGCGGAGAGG